AAGTTTTTGAGTTACCTGAACTTGCGCGCAGCATAGTAAATATGGTGGAAAATTGTAGAATGACAGCATTTTGTTCATTTTTATTTTCCTGACCGTCAAACGAAGCTCATTAGTCGGTAGTTAACCAGTAAGATTAGAATGTCTTTATTTATTTTTTTTTTTTTGGTTTTAGACGGGGCTTTAGCTTTACATGCGCGAATAGAAGCACAAACAAGACCATGAGGATTCAATCGGCGCATCATGCACCTGCAGCGCTAATGTGAAAGGAGAAAAACTGAAATTAAGTCTATAAAAGGAATAAAATAAATAGGATTACATAAATAATATACTAGGCTATAATTGACAGATTAACAAAAGGGAAAAAAACACTGTGCAACAAGTATAGGCTACGCTCATTTTTGTGACACTCGCATTTGATTTCTTTTCTTTATATCTTTATTTGATTTAATTCATCTGATCGCACAGGCGCCTCACGCACACACTAACAACATTAGTTCTACCGTTGCCTGACATTTCATCCATTCATCATCAAACTAAAACTGCAGTCAACCAAACATAAAAGTTACACTGTTTATTTTAAAAGGTCCGCTGTAAAATCAGCGTGCAGCGCCCAAACAAACATTTTTGAGCATGTGAAGGACTTTACACGGATATTAGAACATGAGTGAAGTATATTTGTTGTAGAGTGAGGGGAACTAAATAGGCTAATATACATATAAATTACATAAATTAATGTAGCCTAATTGTTTGCAGTTACAAGGTTAACGGGTCTATTTGAAGTAAGATCAATTTCTCTTTCATGAGATTACTTCCTCTTTTTGGCCGGGTTTCGTTTCTCCGTGTTGTAAACTCTAGGGGAACACACCAATCCCGACGGTCGGCCGTCTGGCAGTTTTTGTTCGTCGGCCGACTAAGTTTTCTCAGTGTGTTCTGCACCGTCGGCTGCAGTGTTGCCAACTTAGCAATTTTGTTGCTAAATTTAGCAACTTTTCAGACTACCCTAGCAACTATTCCAAAAGAAAGCACCTAGCAACAAATTTAGCTATTTTTTAAAAGTATTTGGCAACTTTTGATAAGTGATTCAGACAATAAAAAGGCACACATTTTCCATCCAAATTACACAAAAAGAGGAAACCACAGATGCCTAGCAGTACACA